CCCGCCGACGTGGTTCTCCCTCGGATAATGCTATTTTATACATAAACAACAACATCATTCCAATTTCGATCCAGCCTGACGGAGCTCGTGTTAAAGACCTTCTTCACCAGCCTTGCACAGTTTTATCTCACGGCCCCACTCAGATTTGAGGACTTGCGAGGCTGTGATTCTTCTAGACGGATTTGGGTCGAGGATGGAGTAAATCACATTCCTGCAGCGGGCCTAAATGGGGGTATGGTGGGTTAATGCGAGTCAAAAGAGTCCAATGGTTCACAATCGCACTTACCCTGTGCAACGACTCTATCGGGCCATAGCCCGCTTCATCCCTCCGTCCTTCAAGGTACCGATCATAGAATTCATCCTCGTCCTTCTTGGCCACACGCCAGAGGTGACGACCAGTCCGCATAGCCATGTAAATGACACCGCAAGCCCAGACGTCCACAGCGCGGGCATCAAATTCCCTGTCGATGTACTCCTCTGGAGCAATGTAAGGGGCCGAGCCGCACAAGCCCGACACCATGTGCGCATCGTTCTCCCAGGCCATGCGGAAACACTCTCCGTTTCCGAAATCCGTAATTTTGAGCCCGCCGTTGGTGGTGAGAAGCAAGTTTTCTGGCTTCAGATCGCGATGGGCAACTCCCATCTCGTGCATGTATTCCACGCCACGCATCATCTGCTTGAAGAAGCAGTCCGCCTCCTGAACCTCGAGCTTGCCTGCCGCCAGGACAAGGGTGTAAAGATCACCACCGGCGCAGAACTCCATCACCTCGCAATAGTCGCCCTTTGAGTCCTTAACCAGGTCCAGCGTGTGGATGACGTTGGGATGGCGGAGAGACGAAGAGATGCAGAACTCGGCCGTAAGACGTTTGCTATACTTCTTTTCGGTCTCCTCTGGACGCCTGCGGAACTCCTTGACGGCGAACAGCTTCTCGCCGACACCATTCTCCATCTTCTTGTGGGAAATTCTCACGATGCCGAAAGCGCCGCGGCCCACCACCTCCTGGCACTTGCCGTACTTCTCCACCAAGCCACCGGCTCCGTTCGCCGCCTTCTTGTCCGAAGCCGAAGAGCCTCCTTCCTTTTCCCGCTTCAGATTGTCGACCCAGTTGGAGACGAGCGAAAGGTCATTCTCGGGCGCCGCATGCTGCGGTTCAGACTTCCGGCCGAGCAGCCCCTTGATCATGTCGGTTAACCTCTCCTGGCGACGCGACGACTTGAGGTGGTGCTCGTGTCCTCCGGGAGGATCTGGGAGAAGCATGAAGCGCTGCAAGTGGCCATCCTTGCCGTTTGCCAATTTGGACTTGCTCGCTGTCGCAGTGGTCGGGGCAGGCGACTTGTCTGACGCAATCGAACCCTTACGTTCTGGGGCCGAGGGCCTCGAGGGCGGCGGGGAAGTGTTGCCAGGGGTGCCGGTGCTGGGAGTGGGCTTGCCGTCGGTGGATGCGGCGCGAGAGGCAGCGTCTCTGGTCGAGAACATGCGCGTCAGACGGTCTTTTACAGACGCCTTCTCCACGGGCTTTGCGGGCTGCTCGGTCAAACCGTTCAGGTTGGGAGACCTGGGCGGGATATCGACCGACTTAATTGACGGGGCCTGGGAGGACCTCGTGGAGGGAGGCTTGGCATCGGCGGCGGTTGACATGTTTAGGTATGCGAGAAGAGCGCTGGGCTTCTTGGACGGTGCTGTAGGAGAATATTGATGGCGGGTGCCGCAGTGCTGGAGCGGGCAAAGAGGTAAGCGAGTCGGGTGGTTTCAGTCACTGCGCTTATGCAAGAGCAAAGGCAGGGCAGCAGCAGTGATGGTAGTGGCGGCGAACGCGCCTTGTGGTCTTGGTGGGCAGAGCCCGGGGCTATCCTGTTATAACGACCAAAACTGCCAAGGTTTCTTGTTGTTGTCGCTGCTGAGTTCTGTCGGGGACAGACGGGGAAAAGTCTGTGGGAGTAAGAGGTAGGGGGAAGAAGCAGCGCGAGCGGAAAATCAAGAAGTCGCTGATGTGGAGTGCTGCAAAAGTGGAGCTCGGGAGGCGAGTGAATCGCTGAAATGGGAATTGCTCCTGGGGCTTTTGATATGATAGGGTGGCTCTTCCAAGATATTAGTAGTGGCCGAGGAGCAGGGTGCCGGACGATGACTTCTTGGTCAGGAGGATTGAATCGGACATGGTGAATCGGTCAAGTAATGGCTGAGGAGAGCTTGAAGAAGTGACACAAAGAGCCAGTTTCGGTTTGTTATTGGTTATGTAAGAGGGTTGAGGGCGAGGGTAAAATTTGTGTCGTGACTGGTTCGTGCCGTTGCTTTCCCCTCCGGTTTGGGGCTTGAAGTAAAGGTAGGTAACGGTAAAGGTAAAGGTAAAGGTAAAGGTAAAGGTAAAGGTTCAGGTAAAAAGAGCTCGCCGGGTTAGACAGAGCGGGGGCAAAAATGCCGTCGGCTGATGGGGGTATGGAGGAGTCTTTGACAGACCGGACTGGCTGGCTGGCCCTCTCACTCTTCGCCAGTCTCTTCCTTGGATGACCGAGGTAGAAGATCTATGGGCGCGAGACGCAGGCCTGAGGACAGGCAACGACCGGCCGTTGGTGAGAAGGAGATGGAAGGGCCAAACCAACACGGCCTGCTTGCTGATCGAAGCTCGCAGCCTTATAGTTCCGAGACGTCAGCAAGCTGCAATCTTCTTTCTGCACGGCAAGCTGCAACCCCTCTCTCGTCACCGCGTACGGGCGGTGAATCTGATCAGTCCAGTGAAAGGGGAAAAGGGAACAGGTCCGCTTTAGGACAGCCTTCTCCTCCCAGCAGCCAAACATGTACTCTTGTACCGTATGGCAACAAATTACCAGGGGGACGTGAATAAGGGACGGACGAGACACCCTCGTGGGATGGGGTAGAGTGGTACGTACCACAACCTATCGTGCATGTATGGAGGTACTTGTGCGCAGTACCTGTGAGAAACAAGGAAGTGACTCTAAGGTGGCGGGAAACCTAACCCCCCCCCCCCCCAAAAAAAAAAAAACCACAACTTCTTCTCGTGAATTCCACGTTATGTAATAAGCCCTACGATATCCGAATGGAGGCTCAAACTTCTGTCCCTTCTTTGTCTGAAAGCAGCCACGGGAGCCAAACACCTGGGTCATTTCTTCAGCCGTGAGCCTGCCCGGCCGTGCCCCAGCTTGCTCCAGACCTTCTTCTCCGCCATCCTTTTTCGGCACAAAAGATACCCAATATTTTAAAAACCCGAAAGAAACTTCCCTGTGTGCAGCCGCTTGTGACGCCCTCCCTTTTTGATATATGCTGTGCTCCCCAGCCTCGGCCGTGCTGTCAAAAGGCAAATTCTAGACCCCCATGGTTAGATTTGCCTGTCCTCTCATTCGCTATTTCGTTTGGATCTCGCTGAATTCAAGGTTTGTTCTTGCTCTCTCAGTGAAATTCTAAAAAACAACCTCCACTGGATCCATCCCTATTCATGCAAGGCACCTGCAGCTGTTGCGATTTCGTAACTGCTTTGGGCCGGCGAGATGATGGGCGAGGGCAGCCACGATGAAAACCACGAAATGTGGGATGTCTCTCCACTTCAAACACACAACGAAAAGCTTCTGTTGTGTTCTTTTCATACAACTCTGCATCCCATGACCGATCAATTATCAACAGGCCCATCAGTCAAAGTTGCAAAAAGCCAACCCAATAACCCGCACTTACACGCCCTAGGCGCAGTCTTGGCAGAGCAACGTTCTCCTGTATCCACCCGATGATCCCCTAGAGGGACATCCGCACAGATTCGCCGGCCTTGGCAACGCATCTTTGTTTCCACCAGCCCCATCAAAAACCCCATGTGCCCCCCCCGGTGCCGGCCTCGTTGGCGCCGTGGGCGGCCTCCCGGCTCTTTGTTCTGGGGCAGGTGCGGGGGCACACACGGCCGGACGGGGAGGAGGTGCCCGCCGAAGCGAGAGCAACTCTTGTCCCGGAACTTCCACCCCAAATTGGCTGGAAATTGGTCACATCTTCCAGTTACCTCTCACTCCCATCTCCCATCCCACCCTCAGGATCCTTTCCAGCATCAAAACGTGGCCGGCGACCAGGCCCTGACGCAAGTGTGCCGTTGACTGACCACTGCTTCAGCCCATGGCCACATACGATAGTCCACCACGTTGTGCGGACAGGGCCCTGCGACCTCTACGCAGCATTGATCAACCATTTCTCCCTGTTCGAGCATGAAACCTGTTGTCTATGAGGCATTTTCCCCCTTCCCTTCCCTCCTCTTTCAAGTCTGCTTTTTCGTCGCATTCTCTCATCATCATGCTTCAGCAATTGTCAGCAACCCGGCCTCAGCGACCAATTGGCCAATTGGCCCAGTCACGAGAATCGCCATCTTCCTCCTCACCCTCTTCTCCCCCCCCTTTCCAATACCACCCATCACTTGAACATCGTTTTGGGTTGTGTGGTGGCACAACCCCCTCCACTCGGAGCTCTTCCGCTCTGTCCATCATCAAAGGGAGCATCAGCATCCGATGGGCGGTTGCGGTTAAGGGACCTGATATCGGTCTTTTCTTGGCCTGCATTGGAGGAGCCGAAGGTCCTCCTGCTCTTTGCCCTTTTCTCCCATCCCGTGCAAACATGGGAATGTTTCGAGCCTCTTGTAGATTAGATCTCCTTGTGTTTTTTTTTCCCTCTCCCCCCTCTTTTACCCGGTGCTTTGGGACACAACAACTCTTTTGAGAACCCCATGACCCGGTTCTTGGCATGAAGCTTGTGGGGGACGATGGTGTCGAACAACCCACCGGCCCGTCGGATGACCATGAGGAGTTTCACAGCAGCAGCAGCGTTTGGGTCGAGAAGAAGGTGAGAGCGGCTATCCAACTAGTTTACTTTGGGTCTGGCTTTCTGGTCAAGTCACCAACCAGCTAATGCGTTGCGTGGTGGGAGGTTCTGCTCTCCCTTTGGGGACTTTGAGGAAGGAGGGGTTTGGTTGGAGGGTTGAACTAACAGACGCAGCTAAAAAGTGGCAGGCGTTATCACCACGGAGTATTCTGCGGTGTGCGCTTTCAACGGGGCCATGTCTTGACATGTGAACTTACTCGAATCGAAACCTTTTGGGTTCTGGCGTGGTTACTGTTGGGTCCCATTGGAGCCAATACTCATCACACATTTGATGGCAAGTGTTTCCAAGGAACGGGGAGAGAGTGGTTTTCTCACCGCGACATCCGGATGGACGTACGTATTTACTTGCTACATACACGTGGTTGAGATAACTCGCTGAAAAGACACACACACACACACACACATCCGGGGGCCGGCCTGCCATTCATTCCCCCTTTTCCGCGCACACACCGCAAGAAAGGACTGTATGTACATACGTGCTTGCATGCGACCGGGCCTGGCTTGTTGCAACCACTGCACAGCACACCAAGGACCGGCAAGATGTATATGTACAGCACTCCGTACATATGTATATTCTCCTTGGCATTTTCACCGCGGAAATCTGCTTTGACATCCGGTGTTTTTTTCCGTGGAAGTGAAACTTTCCACCGCGCATTCATAAAGGGTTGAGTGGCAGGGGGGTGCTTTCAAGTGTGGGTATTCCGATCGAGACAAGCTTTTGCCAAGGCCCGTGGCGGCAAGAAACAAGAAACGCCCAGGATGTTGGGGGGAACCTTGTTGAGCTTGGCCTTTTGCGGTGGAAAGCGCTGTTGTGTTATTCGGGACTTTTTGTTTGGATACATACGAAATGTTGTGCTTTTCTGGATTTGGCTCCTGTTCTTCCGTGAACGGACACGGGTATCGTCAGAGCGGAGCGGTATAGGACACGGGATAAGACTACTTGTAAGTGTCATATGAGGCTGGCAGTTTGGTTTGGAGTGTTGACGTGATGGGGCTGTGGTTGATGGTTGTGCTTACCTCACTCACTCACTCACTCGGTCAGTCAGAGGCAGGCTTGATTAAAGGTATGGCACTCAGGACTTTGCATGTGAGCGCGGCTTTTTATGGTCAGAGTCGAGGCTGTGGGAGTGGCTGGGCTGTGCTGATTGGGAACCCCAACTGGTGAAGTGCTCGTATGGTATTTGTGACGACGATAAAACGGCCAACTGAAGGTCTCTCTGTCGGAAGTTCCGGTGTGGCAGGCTTACTACGTGTGAGCTCCGGTTGAGTCTGGTTGCGTCATTACTCCGTCTCCCAGGGTGTGCAAACCACGAAGCAGCCGAGGCATACATTCTTATAGTATCTCTAAGAAGAAGTTCAAAGACTGAAGAAGTAAAAATGAAGAAAAAACAAGGTATTCCAAAGCCAAACTTGTCAAACTATCGAGGTATCAAAAACACCACCGGCAGCCGCCTTTAATGTGTGCATCATTCGCTTTCCACCAATGACAGAAAGAGATATAGCAACCGTCAGAGATCCAACCTGACTCATAACAAAGACAATCCTGCCCCAAAAAGTCAAACAATAAAAAAGAAACACACTCGCTTGGTTATACTAACCCCGTTCACCCTTCCCCACCCCTTTGTTGTGGTATTAATGCTACTACTTCGCCGCTTGTCCTCATCTTAACCCCTCGCTTGAAACTTCAATATCCCCTTCTTTTTCCACTTCTCTTCCATGTGAATTATCCTGAGCCGCTGTTTTCGCTGTTGTAAAATACCCAATGGCAAAACTTTCCCACCTACCCCTTTCAAACTTTGACTGTACATCACTCCGTCTTGCCTTGGTCCCCTTCTCCCGCTGGCTTCTCCTCCTCCCCACCAGCCCCCTTCTTGCTTTCCTTCTCCTTCTCCTTCTCCCTAGCGACAGCAACCCTGACCAACTCCGCAAACCCACTAATGCCCTCATCCTTCCTCTTCTGCTGCTGAGCAGTCTTATTAAACAACCCCCAAAGCCCCTCCTTTTTCTCTTCGGGGTCATTAAACCTCGTATGATAAATCGTCGTCCCTCCGTCCCCATCCCTACTCTTCATCCCCTTAATCCTCTCCACCTCCTTATCAAAAGCCCTATCATAAATGTTGAAATCCGCCGCCGTCGGGCTGTCCGCCACGATCCCCAGGTCCCCTCCCAGTCCCGCATCATCATGACTGCTGCTAAACGTATCCAATCCGCCAGTGCCGATACCCAGCAGCAAAGGTTGGGGTGGTGTTGAGGGTGGGATGAGGTGTGGAGGTGGAGACTGAAGAAACTGCTGCCTCTCACGTAAAATAGAAGCGGCAAAATCAGCCGTGTCAGATGGGCGAGGGGAGTGATGGTATGGTGACCCTGGCGGCTTGGGATTCGTAGAGAGCAACGACTTGAATTTGCGAATCGCCTTCATCACACAGATGAGATGTGACATTCGCCGGGTGAAAGCGTGGTTTACTTCCAACGGGTTAGGGGGGTCGACGGGGTCGGTGCAATTTTCATCTGTGGGGAGGAGGGGGTCGGAGTTGTTTTTGGTGACCCAGGGGTGGTTCTATTTTGTTAGCTTTGAGGGGAAATTTTTTTTACAAAAAAACAAGAAAAAAAGAAAAAAAAAGAAAAAAGGGGGCAGACATACCCGAAGTTCCTCCATTGTGATTCTTTTCTCTGGGTCCTTCTCCATTAACCTCCCCATCAGGTCGACAAATAAAGGGTTCTCGCCCTCGGGAATGAAGGGGGCTTCTGTCCGGATAGCTTCGTACATATCTAATACTCCAAACTTTTCAAACGGGATCTTGCCGTAGCGGAGACAGTACAGTGATACGCCCATAGACCAGATATCAGCTGCCTTGCCGGACACATCACCATGTTTGGCAACACAGAGCTCAGGAGGTAAGAAAGCCGGTGACCCGGCGCTCTTGGCTGTCTTCATGTCGGTGGACTGCTCAAACATCTCCGAGACGCCAAAGTCGACAATTTTGAGAACGTCGTCTTCGTTGAGGAGCAAGTTGTCGGGTTTGATATCCCTGTGGACTACACCCTGAGAATGCACTTTTCACATGTCAACTTGACCTTCATATTGGGGGACTGTGGCGATAAACTCACAGTATTCAACACCCAGGATCAAGTCCCTGAACCAATGCCTACACTTCTCTTCATCAATCGGCGCGGCTGACTCGCCCAAACCAACTTTCATGACAACACCCTTCTTGCACATCTCCAGCACCATGTACAGGGTGTCTTCTTCGGGGTCGTCGAGCACCTCAATGAGCTGGACTAGGTTGGGGTGGTTGAGCTTTTTCATGACAGCGATCTCTTCACGAATAAGAAAGAGGGGGTCCTGCGCTTCCTTTGCTCGCTGGTCTGTCAACCGGGCAATGGGGAGATCAGGGGCGCCAAAGGGAGCCCGGGAGGGGAAGCGGCCGAGTGATCTCGGACCATGGCGGAGGATGTTGGATTGTATGCGTTTGCGGAGACGGGCTTTGGAGAAGGCTTTCACGGCCTGCGGAGAAGGTATTAGAATATAGGAGGTGAGAAAACAGGGGTTGAGGGGTAGCTACATATTCTTTCCCAAACTGATCAGTAGCAAGGTGGACGGCCCCATACGACCCGCGCCCAATCTCCTCCTTAATGACATACTGGTTGACGCGAAAGTGAGAGCGGCCGTCAGAATCGTCACTTGTGTACTCTGAATGAGCGTTGAGCGTCTCTTTGATCTCACGATGAACCGAAGGTGTCCGTTTGTGGTGTCTCAGAGGGCTCTGGAAGTGCTGCACGTGAGGGGGCGCAGAGCGAGGATGTAACAGCTCTGGCTTATCAGAGCTGCTGTCGAGGTGGTGATCGCCAGCGAATTCCACGGATATGTCTGGCGAGGCTAAGCCCCGGGGCACTGCGGCCGGGTCGTGTTGTGCGTCTGGGGTGCCGGCCATTGGCCCCAAGCTGAATTCTCTCGCGTCGCTGCCGTCCATTCGAGGTCGCAGTGGCAGCGTGTAAGTTGCTGCTCGCTGGGGAGGTGGGAAGGTCTCTTGGTCGGCCATTTTTAGGGATGTCTCTCTTCTAATATGGCTGCTGCAGATCGATAATGACAAGGGGGAAAATCAAGAAAAATGGGAGTGGCCGGGAAGAAGGGCGCCGCTTTGGCCGGCCGAGAGTTTGAGAGATAGAAAAGGTGTTTTGTCCTTGGGGTGATGCTCTGACGATAGTCCAGTCCAGCCACCAACCAACCAAGCAAAGTGCTGCTTTTGCTGAATGGAGGTTAGGTCTCTTCTCTTCGTTCATCCACCTATGCAAGGCCGTCTTTGCACAACAAGAATTCTTGGGCGACAACGGAGGGTAGCACTGAACTTTGGCAACAAAGGGTGTAGCCCAACTCAAACAACAACTTGACGAGACGGGGCTCTGGCTCGGCCTCATAGGGCAGAGCTGAAGGGGGAGGGGCCCCCTAAATTGACAAGTGCCCCTCTCTCACCCCCACCACCCCGCTCTTTCCTGCAACCGACATCCCGTCCAGGAGCCTCACTGCGTCATTGGGTCCGTCCTGTGCATCTCGGGAACAGGCCAATCCTATTGTTTGTGTTTTTGTGCGTCATTTCGGCTCCTCGAGCTTTCTGTATCTTGTCGACATGATGATCAAACCGATGGAGAATTGACTTCGAAGTAACCAAAAGAGAAGGACGATCAGCTTACCAAAACGGGAGCCGCTGGACTGGTTCGTTGGATGGATCGTGCCCTGGTCTGTGTGCCACCGCCAAGACGCCTGCAAATAACCCCCGGTCCCGGTGTGGACCCCCGTCGTGGTAAGGAGGTCAACCGCAGGCGGGTCACCGAAGCCCGACACTTCGGGACATCAATGGAAACTACCGAGCATCAACTTGTCCATACCAGCCAAATCGATCTACAAACCCAGTAATCACCCTCACCACCCAACCCTCCCATCACCGCCGTCGCGCGCCCCCATCTCTCTTCTCTCCCCCATCCTCCCACTCAACCCGGCGCGCGGCCCGGCCGGCCCAAACCCGAAAATGGTCGTCTACTCCTTCTACATATTCGACCGGCACAGTGCGTTCCCCCTTCCCCCCCCCCTCCCTCCCTGCCCCTTATATATTGCTAACAACCTCTCCCCAGCGGAATGCATCTACTCCAAATCCTGGCTCCCCCCCCCCGCCGCCTCCTCCACCGACATCCTCCCCCCTACCCACTCCCACCCCCAACAACCACCACAACAACCACCACAACAACCCACCTCCAGCATCCTCACCCAAAAACAATCCTCCGACAACGCCAAACTAATCTTTGGCACCGTCTTCTCCCTCCGAAACATGGTCCGCAAACTCGGCGGCTCCGACGACGCCTTCATCAGTTACCGAACCGCGCAGTACAAGCTCCACTACTACGAGACAGCCTCCAATCTGCGGTTCGTCATGCTGACTGACGTGGCGACGCTGAGCATGCGGAATGTGCTGCATCAGATATATATCAACCTGTGGGTGGAGTATGTGGTGAAGAACCCGCTCAGTCCGGTGGAACACAAGGGGGGTGAGGGGGTGAGGAATGAGCTTTTTGAGTTGGGGCTGGATCAGTTTGTTAGGGGGTTGATGTGAGGGTTCGGGAAAGGGAGATGGGGGAGGAATATGGGATTTGGGGTTGTGAAAGGCAAAGGAGAAGTGGAATAAAAGCCGTGGTTGAGGGAAGAATGAGAGGACGGTATTGTCAAAGGGGGGAAAGAAAGGATCATCAAAACTACGGGTGTAGCGGATGGATGATGATGCTTTGGCTCGTTGGTGTTGGACATCAATTTAGAATTGGGTCAGAGCCAAGGTCGAAATGAAGGCATGATACCAACACCCAAAGGACACATCACAGGCAAAGGTTAATACAAGAAGAGCTACTTGATGGTGGCAAGTAATAATATTAAACAAGTCAAGCTGCTAGTTGCAATGAAATGGTCTAAAGGAAATGAGTGGAAGTCAACACAAAGAAGGGGGGGAATAAAAAAATAAAAATTAAAAATAAAAAAGAGTTTCAGTGTCCCAACCTCGACTCGAACCCGTCAGTTGGCTGGAAGTAGGTGGTACCACTTAATATCCCCCGGAAGGATCGGTCAATAGTAGTAATACTCAGGCGTCCCTCGTAAATACCACTGCACCAAACCTCCGGTGAATTGTCGAGTGCAAAATTTAAAATTATAAATCCGGGAGCGGGCTGTGTGGTGAAGGGAGCGGTGGTGGGGTGGGAGTGAAGGCTTTGGCTGTTTGCCATGGGGAGGAAAGAACGACTTTCAATGAAGAGGCAGGACTGATTGTGTGTGTAATGGGGAAAGACTCAAAAGAGTTCAGCACTCCTGTCTGGAAACGAACCTGTGGAAGTTGCCTCCAGCCAGTTACCGCATTCCTCCTTACCAGAATTTGGGAGCAGGACATCACCAGGTTGTATAGCCTATCCTCACACCGCCGCGCCAAACCTCTGGTGATTATCTGCTGCGAAATTTTAAGTCATAACCCCAGGAGCGAATTGTGAGGCAAGAGCGACCAGGTGAGGAAGGCAAGGGCGACCAGGTGAGGAAGGCAAGAGCGACCAGGTGAGGAAGGCACAATGCTCAAAGAAGGCATGACTGGCTATTAGAGGAAGGAGCACCTGCTCTGTGAAGAGTACCATAACAACACAAGCTCTCAATATAACAAAAGACACAAGACGACCGAGATAGACAAACATTACATGTTTGGAAATAAACTCAATATTGACTATCCTCTATAGGGTATCAACCTCTCCATCATCCCCTTATATCTTACAACAACCATTCCCCCCAAGATGAAATCCACTCCCATGCTCTGCTCTGCCATGCCAAATGATGATAAAGAAAAAAAAAGAACACTGAATGATTCAAAACTTCCTTGTCCTAAACCTCCAACCCTTCCAAATTCCAAATATATATGCGTGTTGTTATGTTGCCATTTATACCCCTCTATATACTATGTTATGTGCCCTTTGCTTGTCCTCATATTATATCAAAACAACCTCCGCTTCCCCCCACCAAAACAAATTAAAACAACCCCCCCCCCACCCCCCCAAAAAAAAAAAAATCAGTCAGTAAACCCCCCCAACATAAATCCTCCCCTATACTGACTCAACATCTCCCTCAACTTCTCCTCCTCGTCCATACTCTGATTTGACGGGGTAAACCTATGACCCCTAGTGCTATTGTTCGTGCTAGTGCTGCTGCTGTGCGTGATGGTTGTCGTGGTGATAGTGGTGTTGGTTTTGGTGGTAGCGGTGGTGATATTGATGTTGTTGGCCACGCTAATGTTGTTATAGTTCTTAAAGTGAAGCTCAGCCATTGTAGGCAGCAACTCATCCGGCCCTGGCGTCTCAACCTCCGAGACTGGGTCGAGGGTATCAGTTGGTGACTCGACCCCGGCAAAGGCCGCGAGCATGGCGGGGGGTGGAGGAGGGGGGGGAGGGGGATAGTCGGGTGCAGCGTTCAACATTGTGCTGCCTACTCCGACGTGGCCGATCAAGGAGTAGGAAGGTGTCGGTGGGGGCTCATCCCGGGACTCCTTGTCCAGGGCAGAGGAACGGACAGTCTTCCGACGGATGAGAGGGGGTGGCCTGTGTTTCTCCTTCTTGGGGGCCTCGGCCGCGGGTGTGGATTTCGGGTCAGGGCTGGACTGCAAAAGGATTGTCCCGTCATGAGCAACTGCCTCGCCTACAGGGCCGGCAACCGCAGGTGGAGGGGTGGTGCTGTCGTTCAGGTCGATGGTGCCCATGTCGAACTCGAGATCAAGAAGGGTAGGCCACTCGCTTGCACCAGCAGGACCAGCATTGAAACCACCGCCCGCCTGTCCGGCGTCGATAGGGGTGGAGGCTGGGGACTCGAAATCAAAGACCTGGCCGGATGATGCCTCGAGAAGCTCGCGGTTGCGCTCGATGTGTTCGTCCAGCTGCCTGAACTGCTTCTCCAAGATGGTCCACAAAGCAGTTTCCTGTACGTCGGGCTGAAGCGCAGGCTGCTTGTCCTTGTCGTCCTTCTTATCCTTGTGCTTTTTATCTTTGCCCAAGTGGAGACCAGTTTTGGCCTGAGGTGGGCGTGGCCCTGGACGAAGGCCCTTGAGGACATTCTTCCAAATGTCGGCGCGCTCCTTGGGGGTGAAGGGGAAGTCGATGATCGTCCTGTTAATCTTCATGCTGTCGACCAAGAATCCAAAACTGTTCAGATTGAGGTTGTTGTCTTGGCAGTCGAGGACCATCAGTGTATTGTTCCTCTTCAAGGACTGGCCCAGCGTGCCTGCGTCGTCGTGGAGGTTCTGGTTCCGAATCCGCAGGTGGGTCATCGCCTTGTTATGCTCAAGACCGCTCAAGCTGCGGCCGAATCCCTTGGTCAGTTGGCCATCATCAAGCCTGCCGGAAAAGCCCGAGAGATCAAGACACCGGATGGAAGTGTTGCGCGCAAACAAGTCATGCAGCGCGCTGACCATCTCGGAACTGCAAACGCCGGTAGGAGAAGGAGCAGGTGCTGTACCGGCCATGTTCAGGACGGTGAGGTACTTGGTCTCGGTCAAGGCGTGGATCAGAGCGAGGTAGTTATCCTCGTCCTGGAACTCAACCATTTCCATATCCAGACCAGCAGGTCCCTTGTTCTCCCGAATGACAGCAGCCAACTCTCCAATGCCGTTCTCGATCGGATTGTTGCTCAGGCCGATATGCAGGCCATGATCCTTCCCAACGGCTTCAAACAATGCCGCAGCTTTGAATCCCGTAATACCGCATTGCTTGAGGACAAGCCGGCGGAAGGCTGAAAATTGCCTGTGATCCAGTTTCCAGCTTCTCGCCATCAGGAAGCGCTCTAGGTCCATCAAGGTCTCATCGTTGATCAGCCACCCCGTGATATCGATCGACTCAAGCCACTGGAGGCTTTCGAGCAGCTCAAAGGGCAATAGCGGGCCCACATCCGAACTGTCTCCCAAAATGCTGCCACAGAGGTTGAGCTCTCTAATTTCAGGAAGTTGCTGCAAGAGGTCAGGCAAAATATACGCGGGCAATCGACCATAGTTGCCCGCCACCGTCAATGACTCGAGAGGAAGAGGGCGCTCCATCAGAGGGTCAATGACGATCCTCCTCACACCCATATCGTCCAAGCCACAAGCCGAGATGTCCAGGGCTCTGATGGCACCCGTTTCCATAGTCTCGGCGAGGTTGCTGATGTCATGTTCAGAAAGGTGATTGTGGGCCAAGATCAAACGGTTGCACTTTGAGATGCCGGTCTTGAGGAGATGGAGGATAGGCGTAAGGAACTGGAGGGTCGGGTAGTGGCTGTCGGCTGTCTTTCCCCTGTTCAGCTCATAGCTGCAGTTGGTGAAATCGATTTGCCGAATCGTCTCAGAGCAATAAGCCAGAGCATGGAACTCCTGGTGCAACACCGGGCAGGTCTTCAGCAGCTGCACTTCATCATTGGTGAGTTTGATGCCTGTAGTGTTGTCAGCTGACTGCCTGAACAGAGAAACACACTTTGAGAACTTACAAGTCCGGCTCAGGTAGGCAACGTTGATGCCCCCGCCCAGATTGTCATCCGCGCCGTGCAGCATCGACAAGTCCACATCCTTGAAAGACAGCGAGTTGAAATAGTCATTATACCTGAGCGCCCTGAGAACAGCCAAAAGTTGAAGGCCTGTGTACAGTCCCGCATGCTTTGGCGGGAGCAGTCGAAACTCGGGTGCATGCCGAGTCTTCCAGTTGATCTCCCACTCGACAGGCGCACAACGATACCCGGCAATGTGAGCGTCAAGTGTGCGCTTGATGGCGCCGTAGTCTTCCCGAGAGACCAAGTACTGAGGGTTCCGAAGCCCAGAAACCGAGAAGATTTCCAGGTTCTGCCAAAGTTGGGGCCAGTTGGGCTTGATAAAGCGGTCAGCAGTACCAAGGATGCGAATGATCTGTCGATAGTAGCGGCTGGCAAGTTCGAGTGTCACTGGCGTCTTGAAGGGATCACTAGGGGTACTTGTCAGCCACAACCAGGCAGAGAATCTGGTTGCCCATCAATCTTACCGGAACGAGATATTAAACCTCTCCTCGTGGAAGGACCAATCCCCAACCACCGAGTTCAGTGTGACCAGGCCGAACGTCCTGTGCTTGTAGCTTGAGCCAGCCTTCCCTCTCTGAACTTCGGCGAGGTAGCAGAGATATGTGCCAATGACCAGATAGTACGCCGAGCCCTCCTGAGACTTCTTGGACGCATCCTCCATCTTTGGCATGTACTCCTTTCTCGTATGTCCTCGTGGGATCACCGGGAAGATCTCCAACTCCTTGTTTGCGAATACTGGCTCCTCCATCATCTGGATCTTTTGCATGAGTGGCTTGATATCATCACACTTGTTCAAAGACCCAGACTCGTCCTGCTCTTTTGTCCCTATTACTCGCGTGATGCTCTCGAGCATCTTCTGTTGCTCCCGCGGTAAGCTGAAAAAGAACTCGGACCGGTAAAACGACTGGCCGCCAAAACCCTTCCACCATACTTCGATTCCAAACGACGGCTTGATGCTTTCCGAGTAGAAGGCTGCCACAACAGTCGATATAGGGATGGCGAGAGCAGGCTCCGGGGGGGAGCCATGGTGCGCTTTCTCGCCTTCAATGGCCAATGATGGAAATAATGCCACTGCGTCGGCACGGCTTTTCATCTTGAGAAGATAGTCCGTTGTGACCACCAGGTATGGAGTCTTGGTCTTCAACAGACTTGTATCCGGTTCCAGCGCACATCCCCCCTCTACTCTTTGAGTTTTCCAGTCGAAGGAACATGATGACGAACTTGGGGTGAGACTCGGGGGATCTGTTGTGGTGAACGACAACCGGCTGTGAAGACTTTGGACGTGATCCTCGGAAATGCCTGAGCTACGTCGACTGAAGCCATCGACTGGAGATGCCGAATATGGTCGTGATTTGGATAATTTCCTAACATGGCCCCTAAACGCCGAGTCTGGTGTAGAATCTCGGTCTCTGTTGCTGTTGCTCATGGAGCGCCATGGCCGTCCTTTGATCGAGTTGAGAGAAAAACTTCTTCGATGTTCGCCATGAGAACTCGTCGGGGAACTCGGGGTCGTGGGGCTGTAGGCTGCTTCAGATCCATCCGGCTCCGTCATGGTGAGAGAAACGCCCGATCTCGTCCTTTTCTGGGTTTGTAAATGTTTGGATGGTGGTCTCGACATGTTGAACTCTGAATCCAAAGTCGATGGTGGAAGTTGGGTTTCCTACAAAGCAGTGCCTGCGTGCGGGTTTTTCCCAATGAAAACCTTGACAAGGGCCTGCAATTAGAATTGTAGGGTTAGTCACTTGTTGTTCTTGGTCTGGGGGCAATCTTTGAACGTTGAAACAGGAGCAGGCCGGCGAAAGATATGCGAACAGGCGAGAACAAGCTAGACGGGGGGCTGCGAGAAGCGAGACAGAATGTTGGACCCTTGATTTTGGTATTGGGAGGGTATTCGGTGCGAGACGTGTTTCGGGTATCGAATTGGGTCGAAAAGAAGAGCCAGGATCGATGGCCAGGCCGGTTCACAGAAAAGAGAAGCGGAGGTTGGCAGGATGGGTATCGGAGGTAGCGAGGTGAGATACGGTTGAGCCTCTCAACATGTTTGGCGGAGCCCCCGTCCCAGAACGCGGAGCAGTCGAAGCCTCCACCTAACGGCCGTGAAATTTCGGCAGGTCCTGAGGGCCGTAAACAGCAAACCCAAGGTGATATCCAACTCTTAGGGCCGAGAGCCGAATGTGATCCCAAGACAAGCTCCGGCGACGTCACAGCCGGCGTAGATCAGATGATTTGATACAGGGACGTGGACGTACGTGGAACGGCCTGTTGAAAATGATACGGCAAAGGTGGACGAGGTTGGTCCGAGAGCACATGAAAGAGCTATCAAAAGAACTTCGATTCAGGCCGGGTAGGACTTCATAGGTAGGACGGCAGACAAGACAAGACAGACAGACAGACAGACAGACAGACAGACAGACAGACAGAAAGACATGGGAGAAAAAGTGAGATGCAAGAAAGCAAAAGCAAAGTGCCATTTTCCAGCGAAGCACGGTCCAATGGTCCAATGGGCTCGAAGCCTCCATCTGGGCATTCAGGAGCTTGTTCCCACCCCTCTTTCGATTTCCATCGATCCCAGCGCAGGAAATCAGGGCGGAGACGTGGTGAATTGCCAGGCATTTGCTGTCTCGATGTAGGATGATGTTATCATACCGGTTTTGGGAACAGTCTGGCGAATGGCAGGCGACCGGGACATGGTCTCCCGACAGGGGGCTCCTGCCAATCGGTGCTGTCAGAGCTCAGCTGTTGTGTTCTGCTCCCAGCGGGCAGTCGAGGGACCGGATGAACCCCCCGGCGATCAGTGCTGGCCGTCGAAATGGGGTGGACATTGCGCCTACGAATCGAGATGAGGTGCAGATTGGATATCCGCTTCCAACAAACAAAACAGCAGTCTGGACTCCCGTCACTGTCGGGTGGCCGGGCACCTGTGCTGGCCCGGTCATTGCATAAAGAGGGGCTGGTTGGGTTGTTAGTCTTGCACTGGCGCCAGCTTGGCTATAAAAACTCGACAACGTGGACGACGAGGCGGAGAAGCAGTGGTATAGATAGGTTATTCCGAGTACATGTCGAATCAGACGTGCCTATAGCCGAAAAGGAGGTGGGGGAGGGGGGCGGGAACAGAACACGATAAGAAGCATATGCCGGCATACATATCTTCATCACCTCATCCAGTCGTTATGTTCAGCTGGTGAGTGGTGTTGGTGGTGGTGGTGGGGCGGGGGGAGGATATGCCGGGAATTTTCCTTGTGAATTCGGGGCTGACGGGTGAAAGCGGGGCCACTGTTCAGACCGTGACGTGAGCTTTTCGCTTGTGGCTTGCGCCGGTGCCAAGATGGAAGGAAAGGTCTGGATTCCAGAACCTCCAACGACGGATGACAAAGCCGAATCTTTCCCCTGACAACAACACTTTGCGATCAGCGTGCTCCCCCGTTTCAGTTTAAATGCAGTCAACCCCCCAGCAATCTTACCAATGGCCCCAAAACCATGCCATGCCCTGGTGATCTTTTTTTTGTGCTGTGCCTGTGCTTCCGCAACACCGTCTCGGCCATCACCTACTCCAGGATTCCCCAGAAGGCATATGGTTGTAGCCGCCTGGCCTCTTGGTCTGACCATCACCCCTCCGTTAGGGGGGATTGTGGCCCAGCCCAGCCAGCTCCTATCATTCGGTTCCCACGGGGGGCAAAAAAAGGGGGCAGCAACGGTAATCAACAGAACAGAGCGAATGATGGCTTTGAGATCGAACGAGCAACGACAGACCTTGGGCATACCTTGTGCTTCCGACAGCCTGGCGTGGTGATGGGGTGGTGATTAGGGTCTTCCTCGCAAGGCTGCATGATGGTAATCTCGTTGAACTGCTTCAACTTTATCAAGCAAACCCGGTGCCATTGACCGCTCTTCGGACGATGACTTCATTGTCCCCCGGTAGTCGCTGTTAAGGCGAACGGCGACAAGTGCTAGCTGACAGGCGTAGTGCGGGGTTGAGAAGCTAACAGGCACGACTTGCCGACTTGGTGGAGCGTGGTGGTTGATGAAACAGCTCCCGTTTCATCGTCGAATTCCGTCCCGCTGGCAAAGACTTCACCCCGCCATGATTGGCCACGCCTGTGTCCCGCTCACATGTTTCCATCCTACGAGACTGTTGTTTGTCCTACTACGGAATGCATTTCCGGGATGCTATTCTTCTCAACATTGTTGGGTTGGCATCACGGCCCGCCACAAAGTCCCTCATCATCGGCAGGGGTCATGGTGAACTGGTGAACTGGTGAATATGAAGAAAACTATCTATGTCAGGAAGGTGTTTTTATTTGGCCTGCTCAAATAGGAAACAAGCAAGCAAAACAGCTCGCTTCCGAATATATCTGGTTTGATATGCAGAGATAGACACTCGGAAGGACATCATCGTAGAATGGAACCACTTTCTCGGCTCCTCGTTATGGCAGCCGAGCTCGGGGTATCGACGCCGCCGTCATGCGCAGTCAGCTGGTGGTGGGGAGCCAAACGGTGACACAGCATCGTTAGTAGAGAGGCACAGGGAAGAAACAAAAGAGCGGTAGCTAGGTGTTGCCTCTTGTGACGCTTGCTCCGAGTAGCTTCAAAGAGGCCCACGGGGGCTGTAACGAGTGAACAATAAAGATTGCCATGTTCTTTGATAACAATGTCTTTGGGGGCAGCATGGGCAGGAATGCAGTGATATGTTCCCGAGAAGCGCCTTGCTTGGCTCGAGCTTCGTTTCATGTCAAGGGGGGTCCCCTAAGCGATTGGTGAGCCTCTTGAAAGTGCTTTACGGCCTGTCCAATCCGCCCTCGCAACGCGCTGCACCCCACCCTCCGAGCCAACCCATCAGCCTGAATCGGGACCATTTGCCCATCGCTCGCATCCCCTGCCCCACCTGGAGGCACCACCCCAGCTCTCTGAACAAAAACCACAGGCACCCTCCACCCGCCTGCCAGATACCCCTCTGAATACTGGATAGTACTGTCGTCGACAACTACCTATTCGGTACACCTACACCTTACCCGACCTCATCGACGGCGCCGGTCCTGCCTGTCTCTTCGGTTCTTTTTTTTCTTTTTTTCGGTCGTCTTTCTGCAAAGCCGTACACACGTGCCTATTCTCTAGCTCATCCCGGAGAAAGGAAAAAATAGAGTTGGAACTTTTCTCGGATTTGGGCCCAAAAGAGGGACGGTCGTCACACAACGCATTCAACAACTGCTCCGGCACCCGTCGGGATTCCTGCACTGCTCTCTGCTCTCCCTCTCGTTATTCATCACCCTGCAGCCCCTTCTGCAGCACGCCGGACTGGCTCAACTGTTGGTTCTCCATCGGCATCGCACTGCCTCCCGGTGATTCCAGACTCCAGACTCTAGGCCACCTCATCCTGTCAACCATCCCCCGGCACACCCCTGCGCCGCTAGGAAAACCCCAAGACTGAATTCATGCCGTCGTCGGTCTGACCAAAGAGAAAACCAAGGCTCCGCCGTTGCGATGGCAATGTTGGCTTCCAAGTCGACATTTCCGGCTTCGCTGGGCTCGCAGCCGTCGGCCATGATGGTGAACACGCCCCAGACCGCCTCTGCCTACCCCTCCTCGAGACGCGCGCCCGCCGTTCAGATGGCCACCCAAAATTACCAAAGCCCGACCGAGTCGGAGTTTTCTGACGTCGACGGTCCGGACTCGGTCAAGAATTGGGATGAAGATAGGGTTTGCGAGTACCTGCGGAGCGTCAAGTGTGGCGAATACGAAAAGATCTTTCGCAGGAATCACATCAATGGAGACAACTTGTTGGAGATGGATAAGGAGGTGCTGAAGGAGATGGGCATTGACAAGGTGGGCGATCGTGTGCGCTTGTTCCTGAGCATCAAGAAGTTGCGGACCAAGACATACGCCAACCAAAAGAGGCGCAACAGGGTAGGTGACAAACAGTATGTATGGCCAAGGGACGACTGTTGGGCTAACAGGTCGAGTAGGATTCCTTTGCGGGGCTTGATGTCCAATATGCGCCCTCCTCACAATCACCACGGCACCAACCAAATACTGGGGCCAGTGGTCGCGGGATGCCAGCGAGCAATAAGAGGTATTCGCGCCAATTCGATTTCCCAGCTGCTGTTCCCGGTGTTGACAACCAAAACCCCTCAAGGCCTACCTCTCCTCAGTCTTCCGGTGGCTTCAGAAGCGCCCGCCAACAGCAGCAGAGATATCCTCAACCACCTCACACAGCATACAGTCAACCAACTCCTGCGACGGCCATCTTCCCCATGTCTCCGCCCGAGCCACCACACACAGGCCGTCTGATGGCAAGCCACACCAGAACTCAGTCGGATGGCTCATCACTAATGGCCGCTTTGCCCCCTGGACAGGATGTGATCCGGGTTATCTCGACAGGTGGTGTCACCAAGGTTGTTAAGATCGCCGACTGCAACACCTGCGAGGAAGTCATGCGCGTCACATTGCGCAAGTTCGCTTTACGGGAGGATCATGAGAGAAACTACTGCTTCTGGGTCTTGGTCGGTGGTGACGACCCACATAAGTGCCGTCGCCTTGGTGATACTGAACTCTGGAGGGTGATCAAAGACCACACCCGACCAGAACGAAATCGCCTCATCCTACGACGTGTTCCTGCCGGGGAGCCAGGATTCGCCGAATTAGAAAGAGCAGCTGCGATTGCCATGGAGGAGGCGCAACAAAACCACAATCGCTCCATGGAGACTATGGACAAGCGAAGTCAACTAAAGGCACAAAAGGTCTTGGGTGAATCGTGGGAAACTATTCAGCAGCCGCCCCTTTCACCTGTGTCTTATCAGGACCATCAAGACCGAGAAAGAAATGTGTACAACACCGCCAGAGACTTGGAGCGTCCGGCACCCGCTGAGACACCACGAATGCCCCGCAGCCGCAAGGTTCTTCGACAGTTCGGCGGGCTAAGACCGCCCAGCGAGTTGATCGCGTCGGATCTTACCAGCTATTTCCCTGACCACTCCAGAGAGGCTATCGACAGGACAGCCCGCATGTCCATGCGTAGGTCGCAGCGCCTTAGCAGGGTGAACCACCGCCTCAGTGTTGCCAGCACCCTGAGCTTTGCGTCCAGCATTCAGGACGCACCTCCTATTCCTACCATTGCCGACAGTTGGCTCACTGCTTCCAACCAAGTCGCCAGGGTCCGTCCTGGAAACCAGCTGGGCCGCCTCAACCATGGGTACCGGGACTCGGTCGCCTCCTCCGTTCTCGACACTCTACAGGAGGAGTCATCACCTATCGAACCGAACCGCAAGTCTTATGTGTCTTTTGCGGATAGCAGCTCAGATGCCGGTACTGCTGCCGTCAGCATCACCGACCCAGATGGAAACGTGGTCCGACACAGCTACTTTGACGGCGACAGCACCGTCGGATCTGGCGGTTCTCTCCAAGAAGTCAACCAGGCCCTCACCGACGACGGAGAGGATGCCGATGAAGAGCTTCAGAGCTTCCTCGCTGGCGACTCCTGGGATGACAGCAAGTGGATGAAGGGTGCGCTCATTGGTCAGGGGTCTTTTGGTTGCGTCTACCTCGCCCTCCACGCCGTCACTGGCGAGCTTCTCGCCGTAAAGCAAGTCGAGACCCCATCGCCCGGCGCCAACAGCCAGAGCGACGCCCGAAAGAAGAGCATGATCGAGGCGCTCAAGCGTGAAATCAGTCTCCTCCGCGACCTCCGGCACCCCAACATTGTGCAATACCTCGGCTGCGGATCATCAGCCGAATACCTCAACATTTTCCTCGAATACGTCCCCGGCGGCTCAGTCCAAACCATGCTTAACTCGTACGGCGCCCTCCCCGAGCCCTTGGTCCGCAGCTTCGTCAAGCAAATCCTCAACGGCCTTTCCTACCTCCACAACATGGACATCATCCACCGCGACATCAAGGGCGCCAACATCCTCGTCGACAACAAGGGCACCATCAAAATCTCGGATTTTGGCATCTCGAAGAAGCTGGAAGCAACAAACATTCTCAACGGGGCCAACAATAATAAACACCGGCCTTCGCTGCAGGGGTCAGTGTTCTGGATGGCACCAGAAGTGGTCAAGCAAACGTCTTACACCCGCAAGGCGGATATCTGGTCGCTTGGGTGTCTTGTTGTTGAAATGTTTACGGGGACGCATCCGTTCCCGGATTGCACGCAGCTGCAGGCCATTTTCAAGATTGGGGGGGCGAAGGCCACGCCGACGATCCCGGAGCATGCGAGCGAGGAGGCGAAGCAGTTTTTGGGGCAGACGTTTGAGATTGATCATAACAAGAGGCCGAGTGCGGATGATTTGATGTTGAGTCCGTTTTTGACGCCGCCGGCGTTGTAAGGGGATGTAATAATTGATTCTTGGGAGAGCCGTGCTTGATACTTTTTTGTGCGTTTTTTCTTCTTTGGGGGGTTTTTAAAGCTTGGTGTCTACGGGAAAGAGTTTCTTGGTGTTGTTGTTTTTTTGGGGAATTAATCGTGTGTATAATCACGGCTGAGTATGACTTTTGGGTGGGGATACTTTTTTTACTTGAGAGATACAGACGCACACAGACAAATTTGACGAATATCATGACGGATATGGATGTGGGGGGGGGGGGGGTTAGCATGGAAAGAGTTGGGGAAGGGTGGATGGTGAATGGTGAATGGTGGATGGATATGTATGATGGTAGATGACAATGGGTGAAAGGAAAGAATTAACAAAGCTACTCAATTTAAAAAGAATAAACATGAGTGCGAGATTTTGCATATAAACATGTGTGTTTTTGATATGGATTTTTCTTCCGTGGTGATGGTGACATGGAGAATAAAAAGAGCATTTACAACAACTGCGGTTTACATTCACGTAACTCTCCCCGGTGACGATGATGTTTCCTTTCTGGGGTTGGATAGAACAACCCTTCTCAGGCTCATAAAATTCTAGTTCCCATCTTCATCTCAATCTGAAAAACTCGACGGCCCACGTCTGGGTAGGTAGGTAGGTACCGATGACCACCACCTCTTACCTAGCTACCCCTCCCGTTCTATTGTTGTTCGCCGTTGGCTATATTAAAATTATACAAGGACCACGTGGATAGAAACACCGAGACAGAAATAGTAACTACTACCAAATCCACCGTGCTGGGATCTTTTCTTCCATGCAAGTCGCTTTCGATGTATGTAACTTTGCGTATTACCGCGGATAAATATCCCGAGTTTTTAGCTGATGTGACGCTGACGGTGAGAAGACGGTAGGATAAATTGACTTGCGTTTGCGCTAGAACGTCCCGCGGAAGGGATGGGGGGAAGAGTGAGGTATGCCAAGTTGGGGATGCAGGATTGGGTGGTGGTGTTGGTGGTCAACGGTGATCTTGATGGATTGGTGGCCAATTCGGGAGGGACGGCATCTTTGTTTATAGGGGATGATGAGGAGTTGGGTGAGCAAATCTTGATCGGAGAAGGGGGGTTGAGGGTTCTAGAACTGCTTGATGGTTGATTGAAGAATTAGTGATTGGACTTGTCTTGGTGGTTGGTTTATGTAGGAGGTAGCTCTGGGGCGTGCAAGTGATTAGATAAGATCTTTCTGCAACCCGCCTCCTTGGCAAAGAACAGAAAACACTTCAACGTCAAATTCCTTATTGTGATGCGATGGATCCATGATATATACTGATCGCCAATAGGAGAGATACCTAGCCCATTCAGATGACTTTCCTACCCTTTGTCCAAAGCTTACCGTTGTTGGGGTAGGGGTTGGGGTTGGGTTAGGAGGGGCTGGAAGCTCGAGCAGCTGGTAACCAATAGGGCAGGCACGTTGATGAAAGAAAGGTACTCATAGCCTTACTGACTGAGCCGCGCAGCAAGCTTTAAGCTCGGTGAGTCTTTGATTCACGTGGTTGAGAGCTGCTGCCTTGTGTTCTTGTGACAATGAGAAGGTCAGGCTGGATAGCAAAGTGCGAGGGCGGACTTGTAGACCACCTAGGTATCTTGTGTGATAAGGAACGAAAGGCTGCTTCCTTTTCTCCAAGGAAGCGAGATTTATATGCTCCTATTGCATATCAAACTGACTGTTCAGATCTGTTGCAACACCACCACACTGCAACGATGCTCACAACCACAACCCCTATCCTCCTCCTCCTCCTCCTCCTCCTCCTCCTCCTCCCAACTCTCACATCCGCCCTTACCCTCTCCGAACCGTTCAAACCCCCCGACAACCACCACCACCAACATGTCCTCTCCACCACCACCACCACCACCACCTCCAACAACAACAACAACAACAACCAGAACCCCCCCCCCATCCCAGGCTTCATCTCCCTCGGCGACAGCTACTCAGCCGGCATCGGCACCCGCCCCGACCTCCCCTCCCCCTCCCCCCCCTGCCGTCAAGGCCTCGGAGCCTATCCCCACCTCCTCGCCTCCTCCCTAAACCATACCACCTCCCATCAACACCAATGGCTCTCCTGCACAGGCGCAACAACAAACGACATCCTCTCCTCCCTCCCCCCCTCCCCCTCCACCTCCCAAATCGACGCCTTCAACCTCACCTCCCCAACCTTTGCAACCCTGTCCATATCCGGCAACGACCTCGACTTCTTCTCCCTCCTCAACGCATGCATCTTCCGCTTCTACGGCCCCTTTTCCCCTTCCTCGTGCGACTCCGCCCTAAAAACGGTCTCCTCCATCCTCCTCAACGATCAAAAACTCCGGTTGCGTATCAGGCTCCTCCTGCTGGAGATATTGAATAAGATCCCCTGGGAGAGGCACCCGTCTTTCTTCATCACCGTCACTGGCTACGCGAGGTTCTTCAACGAGAACACCACTGCGTGTGATGATGTTTCGTTTGGGATCTGGGATGTTTCCCACACGGCCGCGGCGGCGAAATTGACGAGGGACATAAGAGGGAAGATGAACGATTTGGTGCTCAAAGCCAATGATTTGATAAGGGGGATGATAGAGGAGGTGAATGCCTCTTTTTCTGGTAGCGGGAAGAGAAAAAAAGTCGTTTTTGTCGATCATGACAGCCTGTTTGATGGGCATCGGTTTTGCGAGCCTGGGGTGGCAAAAGAGCCGGATTATGAGAGGAGGGAGACGTGGTTTTTTTTGCCGGGGGGTGGGGATGTTGACGGGGAGGGGAGGGTTTATACTTCTTTGCGGGAAGAAAACGAAGAAGGGGTGGGATACTACTACCTCGACCCGGAGCGCTGCTGGGAAGAGGCGGCGGAAAGGGGGGATTGGGGGGAGAAGGCTGTTTGCTTGATGGCCAAGGCGAAGAGGGAAGATCCGGGGTTGAGGTTGAGGGTGCATTATAGGCGTGGGGTAGAAAAGGGGGAGGGGGTTTGGAAGGGGTGGACGACGACAACAACAACAACAACAACAAAACCGGGGGATTCAATGAGGTTGACGCCGACGTATTACGGCAAGACTTTTCATCCTGTGAGTAACAGTCTCCATACCTCCCTACTTACACTTTCAAGACATGGATGATTTATTTCTTTCATGTCGAGTGCTGACTTGAGTACTCATGTGAAACAGAGATCAGCCGGCCACGAAGCAATAAGAGACAAAATCTTTCAAGTATGGGAAGAGCATGGATATTTGAAAGACCAAACCGACTTATGATTGCCCATCTCTCGGGACGAAATAAACGAAGATGATGAATAACGACGGATTTGGATAATGACCTGGCATATAGTTTTCTTTTGGTACACCGGCTGCGACTCTGTGGTTGCGTTGATAGTTAATACCCCTGAATACTACACATGATACCTGCAAATTTGCACACCACCACCTCCAAGACTTCTACACCAAAACTAGTAAAAATCTACACCTTCGAAAATCTCACCTGCAACTCCCAAAAATAAATAAACCCATGGCAAAGAAATGCAAAAGACAACTCATTGACCAGAGTGAGATTCGAACTCACGCCCCTTACGAGACCACGGAACTTCTCACATCCTAGCGAATGTGGAGTTGATATCAAGATTTTCACCTTAACGTGGCGCCTTAGACCGCTCGGCCATCTGGCCCTCTTGCTTCGATGGAGGTTATTTGAAGGAAATGCTCTTTTATTTGGTCAAGACTCAAGACAGATAGCTGGGGATATTGATACAGAAAGAGAAAAAAAAAAACAAAGACAAAGATACTCATAGCTTCATAGCCCGCAAGTCATTAACCTTATCCCATGGCAGCATCATTCCTTCATTCCTCACCACCTTAGTTAGACCCAACAGACCCCCGGTGCAACTTCTGCTTAATCTTCTCCTTCAAGCTCGTCTTCTCCTTGTGCTCCAAATCCGCCGGCTTCGTCGACTTCAAGTCCCAATTGTGCGTAACCTCCTCCTCAGGAACATGCTTGTCATGGGCCGTGGTAGCAGACCCATTCCCAATGTGGTCCTCCGCAACACTCTCCTTGGCCTTGCCATCCTCAACACCATGCTCATACCCGCTGTCCTTCTTCTTATGGTGGGGCAGAGAGATGTGGTGCTTCTTATCACTGTGCTTGTCCGTGGTTGTCTCACGGTGGTGGGGGTGGCGCTTCTCTTCCTCCATAAGACCTGGTATCATGTCAGCATACATCAAACAAAGGGTTGGTGTTGTGAATACATACGATCAGCCTCCTTCCCAGCACCCGGCGCGGCAGCATCAAAGTCACCGCCATCAGCCTTCAGCCCACTGCTACGAACATACAGCTCCCCCGTCCCATCCTCGTGGTCCTCTTGGGTGTCGACACTGCTTGACCTCTGTCCCTTCCTCTCATCTCTAGCCTTAGCACCGGCATCACCACCATGTTCCTTGGCTAACACCTCCAAGGGTCGTGGGCCAGGACCATCGATCTTGACGGGGTTGTCAGACTTGTCGACTCCATCGCCGCTGTCGTCAACATTCTTCTTGGCATCAGGCTTGCCGGTCTCGCCGACGGAGTGGTGAACCGCAAGTGGGTTAGTGGGAGCACGAGTGTCGTTCTGAGCGTGGGTCGAGTCGCCCGGGATATTGGATGACGGCTGGGCTGCGGCGGGGTTGGTGTCTGGTTTGCTGGAATCGGCATCGTCCTTGGTTGTGACGGCGGTGGTCGTGGCGCTGGGCTTCTCGGAGGGCGTGGCCGGGGGAAGCTCAACACTAGTAGCTGAGGGGTTGGCGTTCTTGTTGAACTCGGCGTTGGTGACAACCTCGTCCGTGTTCTCTGTCTTCAGAGGAGTGTTGATAGGTTCGACTTCTGGGTTGGGGTTGGTGGTCTTGAGAGCAGTAGAGGTTGATTCAATGTTGCCGGCATCGTATGGCTCGCCAGCAGCGGTGTTGCCCATGCGTCCAGAGACTGGCTCCTTGTGGGCTTCGGGATCGCCCCAAATAGCCTTGGTAGCGGCGTCTTTGATAGTGTTAATGGTCTCCATGCTGGCCGTGGAAATATTCTTGCTAGAGTGAGGTGCTGTAGTTTGTTGGTGGTGGTGACGGTATGGTTCACGACTCTCTCTCGGTTCAGTTTGTGGAATAGAACAAAAGAGCTGCCAAGCAAGAAAGCCAACAGTTTATATGCTGCTATGAATGAGCTGGTGAAACCCATGGAAAGCACTACCTCATCGCACCGACATGCATCCTCAAGTCGGGAAGGGACGTGACGTAGGCGGTTGCCAGGAGCCAGTCACGCTTACTGGTTTGCTAGTCCGTCCCACGCCCAGTTCCTTTACCTTATCAGACACCTGAACGGCATGCTCTTCCGATCTTTCAATGGCGCAACCGAGAAGGAACTCTGGTGCCATTGGGAGATCCAGCCAAGACCTGATCATCGCCGAGCCTGCATTTGCCATCATCGCATTCCACAGGACATCAAGAAGATGAATCTGGACTCTCTGTTCAACGCTCGTTGAACCAGATGCTCGAGATTGTACCTATTCTCCTCAGGGCTAGCAGTCGAAAGGTACAGTGTTAAGCCGTCCGGAGCTGATATGTATTTCGAAGACCGTTGGGATGACGTTGGTGAAGGAACTTTCGATATGACGTCATACTTGCCGAGCTTTATCTAACACCAACGGTTGAACAAAGGTGAGGACGATCATCGGAGAAGGATTCGAGAATCCTGGATTATTATGGTACTTGATTGGATACTTTAAGAACCCAAAGCGGTGAAACTGACATTTGCTCCAGGTTTTGGGCTTAAGACATCATTCTTATCTCACGACATCTATATGGGGAGCAAGAATACACTAACACCATGAGGCAGCGGAGGACGACGGAGGATACTGAGCAAAAAGAAATGCGGAAAATCATAGACGGTGACTGATGGATGGAGAAAATTATCAGCAATAATTCTCATGGAATGAGGTGCTAAAAAGCAAAAGAATGAGGTCGTACCCGGAATCGAACCGGGGTTACCAGAATCAGAATCTGGGGTGCTAACCGCTACACTATACAACCTTGTGATCTCCTACTGGATGGAATAAGGTGTCTGCGTTTCAACTTATGTTGCCTTTCGCATCTTCATCACATGTAGAATCCCAAAAGCATCTTGATTTTGGGCTCTCACGCAGAAACAATCCATGGAAAACACACCACCTTGGGATACAAAACGCCCATATATTCGCCATTAATGCATCTACAACTTGGTACTCTTGACGAGATTCGTCTTGATACCAGACAACTCTCCCTGGTAGCCACCCTTGCCCTCGCCGCCCTTGTACACAGCCCGCACGCTCTTGAGCTTCTTCTTCTTCTCCTCGTACTTCATCCTCTTCTTCACACGCGGGTTGCGCACCTCCTTCTTCCTGTGCGGCGTCAAGCCCTTGTTCTTCTGGATCTGGTAGGTGATCTGGCGCTTGCCGTCTGGGCCGAGCTCCTGCTGTTCCACAATGCGCTCGTCCTTCTTCGCCTGTGCCAGCGCCTCGAAGCGCGCCGCCTTGTCGGCCTTCTTCTGCTGTGTCTTCTGAGCCACCATGTCGTAGTACTCGTCCTCGTCGTCGCGGACCTGCTTGGCTGTGGTCTCATCACCTTCGCTGTCGTCACCGCCCAGCTCAGCGCCGGCGCCGAATTTGCTGTCCTTCTTGCCGCGGCGTTCAGCCTCAGCGTTCAGGCGTGCTTGGCGATCCCTCTGTGATAATGTTAGTTCCGCCAACTGAAAAGTAGGATATGCAGACGTAAAGACTTACCAAACGCTCACGATAAGGAATATCCATATCACCACCGGCGTCGCGACCAGCCCCAGCACGCTTGTTGGCCTTTTGTACGATTTGCGAAGTATAGAACCTCAAGCTCTTCTTGCGCTTGGCCTTGTCGGCAGCAGTATGTTCGTCCAAAGCATCCTCCTCGCCAAAGTCGGAATAGTCTTCGTTCATATCCGCACTGTTTGTTGGCACAGCGCGAGCAGCATCCTCCTTGGCGGCCTTCTTGCCGCTCTCGAGAAGAGCGGACAGGTCAGCCAAAGACTTCTCGACCGCCTTGGCTTTCCTCGCCTTGTCGGCCTCCTTCTTCTCCTTGGCCCTGATCTCGGCCTTGGAGAGCTTCGACTTCCTCTTCTTGGCCGGCTCGTCGATGTCGAGCATCTCCTCGTCCTCCTCTTCTGGTGGCGAAAGCATGCCCGTTTCTGAGGCGGCAGGCTTGGCTGGTCTGAACTGTTTCACCTTGAGCCAGGCCTCTCTGCACTCCATCAAAGTCCCCATAACTTCGTGGTCTCTGAGTTCTGATGGGCTGAGCGTTGCCGCAGCACCGTTCCCGTCCCTTGTTGGTGATGTGAGAAGAGCAAAATAACTAGCCAGCGAGGCGACGTAGCACCCCAGAATCCAAGACTTGACAACCGCTAGTGACTTGGCAGGCTTTCCAACGGCGTCCTTTTGTAATTCCGAAAGAACGGGCTGCAGTTCTGCGAACTCGTCCACCAGGTATTCGAACTCGGGATATCGAGACTGGAGCAGCTTGTATCTTTCCTCGGGTGTCATGTCCTCTCTTACTTCCACCTCTTTCAAAACCTCCGTCACAACCTCGTCCTCGCCAGCCTCCTCTTTTGGCGCCATCCATTCGTCCTCGTCGAAAGCAAAATCCTCCTCAGTCATCTTGGCCAATTTCTTGGCCTGGAGACGCTTTGCCTCTGCTTCCTCTGCCTACACAAACATGTCAGTCCCTGCACTCGCGCCCAGCCGTAAAGCGCCGTGAACCTACCAGAGCATCGGCCTCGGTCTCGATCTGATCGGCATCATAGTATTCCTTCTTGCTATTTCCCCACCAACCCTCATCACCCTCCTCTTCCCCCTCCTGCTGCTCCTCGTCTTCGGAATATTGCTCAATGACCTTCTTGCCCTTGCCCTTCTTGGCTGGCGCTTCGTCTTCGCTCTCGTCGGAATCGTCTTGCTGGAAAACCTCCTCGTCGGAAACCTCTAAAAAGTCGTCCTCCTTCTTGAGGCGCTTCGAGCGCGGTTGTTCGTCCTCGCTGTCCAGCATGATCTGGTCCTTCTCAGCCCAGTACTCATCCCCAGAGTCGGCGACATCTCGGTACGTCTTGATGGTCAAACTGGCGTCTTTGGCGTCGACATCGCGGGGGCCGGCCGGTTCCGCCTTGCGGGAGACTCTTCTTTTCTTGGCCATTGTGACTGATCTGTGCGAAGAAAAGGTGATTGCTGGCAAAATCCAGGCGCAATTGTAAATCGCCTGCTACCAACAAATGTGGGGTGCTCTGCCTTTTGGCTGGGTGTTGAACTTTTGGAAGGTTCAAAAGCGGCAGAATTTTTTCTGCTGGCTCTCGCTGCTTCACCGACCGAGCGAACCTGCAGGCTGGGTTCGCCCCACCTTTCCCGCAGCAGCCCCGGGAGCTCCACTGGTTTCGAGATCCACTTTCAGCTGCTTGTTCAGCGGTACCCTCACCATGAGAGCTCTCCACCTGTGAGCTTGATCTCACTGTGAGGCTTCACCACGGCACTGGGTTCATGCTTTTTGAGTGATATCAAAACCGTTAGACACAGGCCGGATAGAACTAGTTTATCTGTTAAGAAGATTCAATCCAGTTCCATTCTGTCATCATGCCCTCTCCCTATCATTTACCATCCATCCTCTTTGTACCTTCCTACTGAGGTAAGCCTGGAAAATGGGCTTGCAGGAAGGAGTTCTTGGACAGCTGCAACCCCACAGAGGGCCTGTGGGAACACGGTGCCAGACTGCAGAACCATAAAAGTCAATCCGATCCGCGCCCCTGAACAACGACGTGTTTCTCAACGGTGTAAGCAACATCTCGGTCTCATACTCTTAACTTAGTGAGCTATCATAAGTCATCTCTCCTTCGAGAAGACGACGAGTCCGAGCCCACGGACCTCAATTCCGAAGTCATCATCTGCAATCCCACCCTTCAGATCAACCTCTCATCACACCTCGCATTTCATTTAAATCTCACCTTCTCCCCATCTCATTCACCCTTCAAATGGACATCATCGAACAACGCCTCGGCGTCCCCCCTCACATCGCCGGCCCAGCCGCCACCTTTGCCTTCTTCGCCTTCTTCCTCATCAAAAAAATGGGCCTCTTCACCAACACCAACCACTTCCCCGTCGAGGGCAAGGTATTTCCTCCCCCTTTCCCCCTCCTTATCCCACCCTTCACTCACTAACTCCCCCTCATAGACAATCCTCATAACCGGCGCCTCAGAAGGAATGGGCCTAGCAGCCGCCATCCTCCTCGCCAAAAAAGGCGCCTCCCTCATCCTCGTCTCGCGCAACGTAGGCCGCCTAGAAGAAGCCCTTGTCAAAGTCACCGCCGCTGCCAGGTCCCCCTCCAAGCAACGCTTCACCTACATCTCCGCCGACGTCTCGGAACCCAACTACGCCGAGTCGGTCATCGCCCAAGCCATCGCCTGGAACGCCGGTGCGGCCCCCGATATCGTCTGGTGCATAGCCGGCCTGTCAAGCCCCATGCTCTGGGCCGACCCCGCCAACGACAGCATCGCGGCCACCCGGAGAAACATGGATGTCAACTTCTTTGGTTCGGCCGAGATGAGCAGAGCCATCTTGAAGGAGTGGCTCGCTCCGGAGAATAAACCCAAGGATACAGGGGTTATCGGCCAGAAGCCGGAGCCGAAGCACATCGTTTTCACCGCGTCGATGCTGGCGTTGTTTGCGATTGTGGGGTATGGGCCTTATACGCCGAGCAAGTGGGCGTTGAGGGGGTTGGCGGACACGTTGAACATGGAGTTGAGGATGTATCCTGATCATCCGGTCAAGATTCATGTTGTTTACCCGGGGACGATTACTTCTCCTGGGCTGGAGAGGGAGAACAAGACCAAGCCGCAGATCACGCTCGAGTTGGAGAAGGAGGAGCCGGCGGAGAGCCCGGAGACGGTGGCGGAGCGGGCGGTGAAGGGGTTGGAGAAGGGCCAGTATAATGTCACGGTTAGTACATTGGGGGATTTGATGAGGTGTGGGATTTTGGGGGGGAGCGAGAGGAATAATTGGGTTTGGGATACGGTGGTGGGGTGGGTGGTGCCGGTGATTTACTTTTTTGTGATTAGGATTATGAATGCGCAGGTGGCGGGGTGGGCGAGGGTGAATGGGCATCCGCATGTCAAGAAGGCGGCTGCTTGAAGGGGAGGGGGGTTAATGCGGGAAACAGGACATCAAAGGTTGGAGTATGTATGGATGGGCAGCAAAGACTGTAATATAATGAAAGTATGGAATAATATGTGGTTGTCATTACGCCATGATGTGCAAGTGGTATCAGTCTGCCTTTTGTCGTTGTCCCATTTTGTTCCAGCGCCCCTTTCCAGAAGGGTTTTTACCAGTTGTTGAAAGGGTTTGAGCTACTTCCTGCAGACAATCTTTATA